CGGGCCGGGATGCGATGCGATGCGATGGGAGGCTGCGGCTCCATCCCCCGCACGGCTCCATCCCCCCGCGGTCCGTGCGGTGGTTCTGCCCCTAGCTCAGGAAAATTGTGCTTTCCTCCCGAAGGTCGTGCCGGGGAATTGCCGTGGCACGCTCCTGCCATGACAACCATCAGCGACCTGCCCGAGGATGTGCTGGTGGAGCTGCTGTCGCTGCTGCCCTGCCGGGAGTTGGTGCGTACCTGCCGCCTGGTGTGCTCGCAGTGGAGATACGTGGTGGACCTGACCACCCTCTGGAAGAGAAAGTGTCAGCGCGATGGGTTTTATCGTCAGAGCCTGGACAGAAGCATCTCTGACTGGAGGGTCTTCTATATGCTCTGCTACTTGAAGAGAAACTTAATCAAAAACCCCTGTGCTGAAGGTTTGTTGAATTATTTATATAGTCGAGGGTTAAGAGTTTCCAAGCAGTCAGAAAAGAGTCAGTGCATGACTCAACTGCTGCTGATGCTGTGGGACTGCCCAGCCACATCCACAGCTCAACACTTGCAATAGAACTGCTGTGGGTAGGTAGAGATGCACTTACTCATACTTTGTGGTTGCAACCAGAAAAATCTGGAGTCACAAGGCCCCAGCACTGCAGACAGTGACAGCTGATTGGCACAGTGAGTACAGTGTGGTAATGAAACCATCAGGTACTGGCATTAAACATTAGGCAGCTGGAGAACTTTTGTTATCAAAGACTTGACTAATAGGACTACAGTAATTCTACTTTATTGCTGAGTTTCTGATGTGGTCCTAGTTGCTACCTACTGTCCTAAGTGCTGACAGCCACAATAAAAGTAATGGCAACACACAGCTGGAGTCAGTTCCAGCTGTAGGAAAAATACAATGGATCTGAAAACTCCAAGTAGCTTCCTAGAACTCTCCTGTAGCTGACTCTAATGAGAGCTGAGATAGACTGCTGGTAGTTGAAGTGAGGTCCTAACCCTCATCTTGGACACCTATGTTTGTAGAGAAATTTGAACACTGGAGACTTGACCGTAATGAAGGAGATAAATGGAAAATTGAGAATCTGCCTGGAGCTCATGGAACTGAGATGCCAGACTCCACAGTACACAAATACTTTGTCACTTCGTTTGGGTAAGGACTGGATTGCAGTCATCTGGAGCTGGGAAACTACTTCCTCCTGTCTGTCTGCAGAGGCTTGAAGCACTGCACCTTAACAAACCTGTGGGAAAGGAAGGAGCTTAACTAGCCCTTTGTACTAGGTACTCTAGAGAGGCAGGGATACTGCTGAGAGAACTGATCACAGCATGTGCTAAACTTCCCTGTCCCTATCAGGAATTTCCTGTATGACAATCCACATGGGATTCTCTACCTCTCCTCTCCCAAGGGTGGTGGGCAGAGGTTAAGAGTTTGGCAAACTTTATCAGCTGCACTTACCTGACAAGGTCTAAACTCTGTAAGCTGCAGGAGTGGTAGGTGTGTCATGCTAATGGTTGCAATAAAAGCTCACAGCAGAGGAGGATTAGCTGCTTTTATATGCACTAGGGAGTAGTTTCCTGTTACCAATATACAAATGCAGGGACCCCTCTTAATCCAGTTTGTAGGTAACTGTGCCTTTTGTCTGGGGGTGAAGCTAGTTCAGTTCACTTCCTTGTTTAGTTAGGCTTTAGCCAGGTGAGTTTTGTGGGCCTCCAGGGTCTGGGAGGGCTTTTGGTCAGAGTCAAGCTGTCAGGGAAAGGACTTAGTTAGGCTTTAGCCAGGTGAGTTTTGTGGGCCTCCAGGGTCTGGGAGGGCTTTTGGTGAGAGTAAAGCTGTCAGGGCAAGGACACAGACAGTGAGAGGGAAGAGATGTGTTTTGTGGAACTGTGACCATTTCTCTGGCTGTTCCAGGCCATGCTTGAAGTCTCAACTCATTACCCTGAAGAAAGAAGGATACTGGAATCAGCTGATGGATGAGAAACGGCCTGAAATTGTAGTCAAGGACTGGTAAGTGTATGCACTGAAAACTAGAATTTCTGGCACTGGCTTAGAGATGAGCTAGGCCTCTGGGGCTTTTCATGCTATAAAATTAGTTCTTTATCCTTTGGGAGTTGAGTAAAGCATAAGCTTATTGAATGGGCTGCAGTGAGGTGGCAACTCTGTGACAGGCAGGATAGCTGGAAGTTCTAGAATTTCTCCATAGCTAGGGGGATGACATTCCTTTTCCTCTGCAGGCAGGGGATCCCCTTGGAGACTGTTTCTGAGGCCTGAAGGAAACTGAACACTGTGTGTTCAACCCTTGATCCCTCCTGCCTCTCCAGGTATGCTGCCAGGTTTGACTGCGGGTGCCGCTACGAGCTCACCGTGCGGCTGCTCTCGGAAGATCACATCGTCCTGGAGGAGTTCCGGCCTGAGCCAGTGGTGATAGAGCAGTGGAGTGATGCCAGGTGGAGAGAGGTAAGCAGCAGCCTCAGAGTCAGTAGCTTTACATCAGTGTTGCAGCACTTGAATCTTGGAAGTCTTACTTGGCCAAAATCTCCAGTGGATCTTTCTCTGCTCTTCAGCCTCTTCTACTTTATAGAGATGAGTCAGTCCTTGCTGTGGATGATGCTGAAGAAACTGCAGTGCCCTGAATGAGCCAGGTTCCACTGTTAGGTGCTCAGGGTTTTCTAAAGAGTATCTAGATACTAAAGGCTACACTAGATATAAATATCTAGACACTAAAGAGTATCCCCTAGGGTTCTGTGTTCCTAGTTTTTACTTAAGTTTTTGCCTAAGTAACTAAGTTACAAGGGCACAGTTCTGGTTTTATTGGGTAAAAAAGCTTTGTTTTGAAACTACTGCAAGGATGGCTAAGTATTGCAGACTTAACATTTCCTAAACAGGTGTTGAACTAGTTTAGTTGGCTGTAGGCCCCCCATTAGATGTTACTTACATAGGTAACAAAGACAAGTGCACCTCAGAATTGAGTAAGCTTGACTTGGAGAGGATCTGGGGGAGAAGAGTGAGAGTCTTTCCCCATCCCTCAGAAAGGGATATGGTGCACTTTCAGTGAGAGGTGTCTTGGTCTCAGGAAAAGGACATACTATAGTTGTCTGAGCTTCTAGGTCAGTGTTGGTTTATTTAGGCAAATTAAGAGGAATTCTCTTTTATTTCTCCCCAGATTTCTCACACGTTCCGGAACTACCCAGCTGGAGTTCGTTACATCTTGTTTCAGCATGGAGGTCATGACACCCAGTACTGGGCAGGATGGTATGGGATCCGTGTGACAAACAGCAGCATCACCATTGGGCCCCACACGTCCTCATGAAGGCACAGAACAAGTGTTTGCTTTCACCTCAGGACTCTAACTAGGTGGTCTCAGGTGCACTTTCTGTCTGCACACTCTGGGTGAGTGTCCTGACTTTGTCTTGCACAGCTGATCTCGAATACAAGCAGCTCCTTCTCCTTGTTCACAGCAGAACCTCAGCAGGCTCAGCCCTTGGGAAGGGCTTCTGTCTTCATCTTCCATCCTCCTGTACCACGGAGGCTACTCCAGCTACTACTGCCCTTCCACGAGAGGAAAACTGGGACAATTAAATATGAGATTTATCTTTTCTAGTTAATATGTCCTTGTGCTACAGCCAAACAGAGTCTTAAAAGAGAAACTCTTTCCTGTTTGTTCATGGAACCTACAAAGATAAGGCTAAAATGTTTCATTTCAGATTATCAATGCTGCCCACTCAGACTCTACTACAGATTGTTTTGTATGGTATTTTCTTGTTGCAGTTTAATTATATATAAAGACATATTATCTTCCACATCAGACTTGTCATAGCATCAGGAAACTGTCAACCCTTTTTCCTAAGTGCTCTGTCACTGGTACTGAATTCCTTAGCCTTTCTACAAAATGATCAAAATGGTGTCTGCCTTCCTGTCCAGAACAGCCTGTCAGTGTATGAATAAACAGGCAGAGAAAGAGGAGATAATGAATCTCTTTAGGCAGCTTAAAACACAAGTGCCTTTTGCTTGTGCTGGGCTTTTCCCACAGCACCTTTGTGCTTCCAGAGCACTTGGTTTGTGCTGAACAGCCTAACACAATCTGAAGTGTTAAAGCAGTGCCCAGCCTGAGTCTCTAGTGTTCTTGCACTTGTTACCTGGAGGAATCAGGAGGTGTTGTACAGGCTGTAGTACCAAATGGACCAACAAGCTCAGCTCAAACACTGTGAACTATATGTGTTAGTCTTGTATGCACAGAGCCAACACTAAGGTAGTTTTGCATCTCCTCTGATAGGCATAGGATTAGCAGTGCTTCCCTTGCCTGTTCTCCATTAGGACTAGGACACATGACAGGTGTCCTTGCTGAACAAATTCCACCTTGCTCATTCCACCTGTGGGTGAAAGGTCTCCCATGGAAAGGGGAGAAAATGAGGTTGTACAGCCTGTTACAGGGACTGGCAGGGCCCATATATGTGCCAGAAAAGTGGTAGAAGCTCCACAGGAAATAAAAACAATTTCCTCACTTAAGAAGGGAGACTGGTTTGGACAGAACTCAGCCCAGTTCAACTGGGGTAAAACTTCATGTTTATTGAAGGGACAGTCACAGTGGACAGACACTACATAAGGCCTCACTTCCCCTCAGCACGAGTCCATTGCTCTCGTGGAGTGTGTAACAGCTCCTCACTGTCTCTCACTGCCCATGTGCAATGGAGCTGCCCCTGCTCAGGGTACAAAGCACTGACTGTCCCCAGGGATGCACTGTCACAACACCTGTACTCACTGTCACACATGAGTCAACATGGGAACAGGCTCTGGCTCCACATTCCAAGTCAGTTCTATATACAGTGGTAAGAGCACTTGAAATAAAGAGGCAGCAGCTGCTCTACATTCACCCAGAAGGCCAGCTGAAGAGACAGGTATCAAGGTATGCTTTGTGACAGATCTTATCCCACTGGAAGATCAGATGAGGCTCGAAGGCAAGTTGGAATCAGGTGCCTTTGTGGGCTCGTTCCTCTACATAGAGCTGCATCTGGAGGAAAGAAACCAGCATCAGCCCTGTTGATATACAGGTAGGTGAATGAAACAGAAAAACAACTGCAGCAGGCTGAATAGGAAGACTTCGTGCCTTCCCCCATAACCAGGTTTCCTATTTTATTATGAGGAGTCTTGCCCTGCTTTGGTTTCTGGCACAGACATCTGCAAGACTAAGCTACTGCTCAGAGTTGTTACCCCCCAGAAAACTGCAGCACTGGTGGCAGGGCAGACACAGCTCAGCACTACAGCAGGTTCAGCCACCACCTCCTGGGCAGAATGCTGTGCTCACCTTTAGGATGTCAGATGTCATGGTTTTGAGGGGAATGAGCCTGGGGTCGTGCATGTGCACGTCCTGCTCGTCAGCGAGGATCCACGGGAAGTCCTGGGGACAGGAGCACAAGGAGTGTTACTGGCAGAGCCTGGCACTGCTGTAAGGTGAGCTCTCCTCAGCACAGTGTTAAGGGAATGAGAGACACAGTGGCTGAGGGAAAGAACAGGTAACTCACACCTTCCACAACAGCAAAACTTAACACTTACACACTTGGCCCTGACTCAGCATAATTATATTCAGTCAGAGCATCAAACTATGATGTGAACACACTTTACTTACTGCAAAGTGACAACTCACTTCTCTGAAAGATACACTCAGCTGTCCTGAGCTAGCATGTTCTCTTCATTACACCACCATTTAATTCCAACTCCAGAAAGATCAGGGCACGGATTTCTGTCCTGCCTTGGAAGTTTTAAGCTTGGCCTACTACACTACCAGTTTCCATGACTAAGCAGTGCAGAGCAGTCTTCCATTTTAAAGCCATTTTATACTTCACTAGCTTCATTTATTATTCCTTAGGACACCTAAAATAACTTGGCTCAAGGGAAAAAAGTTTCCCTGTATCTAAGCAAGGATTGTTAAAAAAAATCTTGCTTTAGAAAGTGATCTGCACACACTTTCCAGTAAGATGAAATGTATCTGTGCCCCCCAAACCCACTAGTTGCTTGAATCTTGGTATTTCTTGCCATCTACACACAGTGAATGGGGGACGAGAGCTGCTGTTCTGGTTGATTCAATTCAAGTAGCTGTTCTACATGTCAGAGTACTTCTAAGTGGCTGAGCAGGCACTGAGCAGTGAGTGGTGCTGGAATCTATTTCAGGATTTGAGGCAGCTGTTGTCTGCAGTTGTGGCTGTGTGTGGTGTTCTGTCACCTCACCAGCACAAACCATTTTAACACATTCTAAGCACAGTTGTGATGTGCCTCATGTAACACTAACCTACATGTTCAAAACATGTATCAGCCTTAAAGCCAAACCTCTACACTGCCCAGTCTGTGCTCTGCAGCTTCTCACACATAATCAATCCATTGGCCAAAGGTTTCACTCACCTTTATCACCTGGATCTTTTCCATGTTCCTTGTGGCAGCCTCCCGTGTGTGAACCAGGACTGTGAAGGTGCAACCTGTGAGAAAAATGTCAGGGGACAGCTCAGCCACAGCTCCCAGAGGGTTGGACAATCCAAGCCATGCCATGCCAGGCATTAGGCTGTTTGGAGTGATGTTTACCTGGGGGGTTGTTGTCCAGCACAGCATCACACACACTGATTTTCAGGATGAAGGCACGCAGTAACTGCTCCACGTGGGACAGCAGGGACTCAGAACTGAGGAGGAGACAGCACTTGTTACTGGCATGCAGCAAAGGCCTGGAGCTGCTCCCAGAACAGCTCTCTGAGGCAGGTGTTGGATGCCAGGGGCAGCCAGGAGTGGAAACCTCACCTAATGGAAAGGAGAGGTGGTTGGGTGATCTCAAAGACGAATCTCTCCACCGGGTGGTGCTCTTTATCCAGGATTACAACCACGACTTTCTCCACATCATTCTGCAAGAACAAAGATAGAAAAATCCCTTCCTCAAAACAAGCTGACTGCTGCCCCCAGCGTGCTCTGCATGCTTGGATACAGTGGGAGTACCATCGTTTGTTGGTGCTCACAGCATGAGCCCAAAGCTTGAGCTCAGATTATTCTTAGCAAACAGAAAAATGCTTTTGCAAAGCCATTTCTTGCTGGATGTTAAACTGACAGTTCATGGCTAAGGCTGAGGGAGAGGAAGCGTGCTGAATTCTGTGTTCCTCTAGATCCTGTTTTGGAACAAAGGAGGAAATGCACAACCATTTCACTGCACTCAGGGATGGACATTGATGAGGAACTTCAGATATCCTCAGACCATCGGCCAAATTAAGCAGCTTTGTACTACCACAATGTATAACTGACCTATTTCCATCCTCTGCATGTGCATTTGGATGTCTGTAAAGAGCAGGGAATGTGAAACTGCTTCATCAGTCACACCTTTCTCTTACAAAACCTGCAGTCCAGACCTACCTTTGCTCACTGGCTGACAGCAAAGCATTCAAACTGTTCTGCCAGAGCAGGTGCTTAAACTGGGATGGATGCAAAAGCAGAACACTGAAGTGTAGGATGATGTAACTGGAAATATACAGACACATGTCCTTGTTTGAGTGTATGAGATGCAGCAAGGCAGGGCCTCACCTGGCAGGAAAGGTTATGGATGTTGTGTTTAGTTTAGTTAGGAACTTTATCAACTAGTATATTGTACATGGTAAATTTGTAAATAAATGTAGCAATTAAGGTAGTATTTAAAGTAAGTTCTCTTACTTTCTGTCAAATTCACCTGCAGTAGCTCTGCCCAAGTCCCTGCTCTGAGCTCACCTTCTCCAGCAGTGGCTTTACACAGTGCAGGGTGTCCTGGATGTACTGGTTCAGCTCTGGGTGACAGGACATCTGCAGCAAACACAAGGAAGAGTCAGAGCTCTGTGTGAGGACAATGCTCAAAGGGCAGATTTAAACAGAAGCATCAGTGTGTTATGAGACACTCAAGTCAAGCTACAACTAGTGGTGAAAAGTGCTAAGTTGCCCAGCAGCTCTTTCAGGGAAAGGTTAATCAGCTCAGGCAGATCATTGTACCCACATGGTTGTTGTGTATCAGGAATATATACCCACAGCAGCATCTTGGGAATAGCATATTCCAGCCAACTCTACTTCCCAGGAAACATGCTGCCCTGTTACCTCACTGCACAGAGCTGGGGAGCCTTCTACTACTGTTGTCCATGAGCTGCTTGTTCCATGAGCACTGCTGTATCCCAGCTACAGGGCTGTTCTCCTTTAGGGCAGGAACTAAGCTCTACTCAAAAATGAGTTTGTACATTAAGGCAATCACTTCCAGAGTTTGTTCTGGTGAGTGTTGACTGATCTCTGCTGCTTTGCTTTGCCACATGGCTGTTAGCTTCCAGGAAAATCTCCTACCTGGACAGGTACATTGTATTTTTTCCTTTTCTGAAAGATGCCAATAGGATAAACTTCTCTGACATACAAGATGAGGTGAACAGCCACTTCCAGGAATTCTGAGAGAACATCTGCAACCACTGGAAAACAGAATTGAAGGATGCTGAAGCAGGGCAGGGAAAGCGTGCAGAGCAATACCACAGACTCTTTTGTAAAGGTATTTTTTTTCAGCATAAATTTCACCTGCTTCCCTTTAGCTGCAGGAAGTTTAGGGCCAGACCAACCCTCCCAACAACACTCCCACAAGCTCAGTGCCAAGGAGAAGCCTCACAAGCCACACCAGCTGCAGCTCAGCACAACACCTTACCTTGGCCAAAGTTAAGGTCCTGCCTTGTGAGGGTGGTCATCTTCCCCAGGCCCTGGAGAGGTAAACACAGAATGTTTATCTCCTGGATTATGAATTTATGGAGCTCCTGGAGCCATGAGATTCCCCAGTGCCACCGAGCTCAGACCCAACAGCCCATCCCTGTGCTCAGACACACGAGCACTGCCCTGAGAACCAGCAGCCCAAGGTGAGGTGTGAGCACAGCGAGTCCTCAGGAACCACCAGCAGTGCACAAACCAGAGACACATCCAACCTCTTTGAACACTTCCAGGGAAGGGGATACCATGTAATCCATTCCCTATGAGCTTTCACGTGCACCAGCCCAGCCCAGGGGCACAGCCCTGCCGAGCTCCGTGCGCTCCCCGGGAGCAGG